AGATAGATAGATAGATAGATAGATAGATAGATAGATAGATAGATAGATAGATAGATAGATAGATAGATAGATAGATAGATAGATAGATAGATAGATAGATAGATAGATAGATAGATAGATAGATAGATAGATAGATAGATAGATAGATAGATAGATAGATAGATAGATAGATAGATAGATATCAGTGGCGGCTCATAAATAGGGGGCACTATGGTGCAGCCCCACCACTCAAACCACTCACATATTATCTTGAAGACAGAAAAAATAAAAATAAAATAATTAAATAAAAATGTTTCGAAATATATGTAGCTGTATTTTCGTTTCTGATTGATGACGCAGTTGTTTCTTTCAAAAACTTTGTCTCCGATTGGTGATGTATTTCCGCCCTTGGGTCGCAAAAATCTTTGCCCATAGACTCTTGCTAAAAATTGTTCATGCACAGTTATCTCCTCTTCATTACAAGAGACAGAAAGATTCTGGGCGCACCTCCTCTTTGAATTGAATATATTTGGATTTATGACAACATGTTTCCTGTTTTTGGAATAGTCTGGAACCTGTTTTATCAACATACAAAGAAGATGGCTAAAGCTATTTTGTCCCTCGTCAGGCTGCTGCTTATGTGAAGGTTGGTCCGTGCTTTGAGGACTCAAAATCAGCTGACTTACGAGCTAAACCGTAATTTGGAAGTGATTTGAATCACAGGCCACCTGCGGCTTTCGGACTCGTCAGCATGAAAATGACCTTGAAGAGGCTCGTAAGTACGGACCAGCAGAATGCACCCTAATCTAGCACCATATCTAAACTATGACTCCCCTGTTGGCCTCGAAACAGACCGACATGTCAATTTCTTCTGGAAAATGTGTAAACTAAGGAAAAGCTTCATCTATTGCCCTGTCCTGTTCACTCTGCTCACGTATGATTGTGCACCTACCCATCCAGGCTGTCATACTGTAAAGTTTGCAGATGATACAGTGGTGGTGGGATGCATCACAAACAACGAGGAGTCCAACTACAGGTAGGAGGTGGAACACCTGGAGAGCTGGTGCAAAGAGAATAACCGTCACATCAATGTGAAATAGACAAAGGAAATGGTCGTGGACTTCAGAAGGAACAAACACACCTACCGCCCCTGAACATAAGAGGATCTGTGGTGCAAGTGGTTTCCAGCTACAAGTACTTGAGTGTGCACCTGAATGACAACCTCAGCTGGGGCAACAACACCACCAGCCTGATCAAGAAAGCTCATCATAGACTCTATTTCCTCAGATGGCTGAAACAAGCTGGTCTGGGAAACTCAGTCCTCACCTCCTTCTACAGGTGTGCAGTGGAGAGCATCCTGTGCTCCAGCATCAACGTGTGGCATGAAGGCTGCACAGCTGCAGAAAGAAAAGCTTTGCAGAGAGTGGTGAAGGCTGCACAGAAGTCTGTTGGAGTCAGTCTCCCCACCATCACAGACATCTACACCTCCAAATGCAGGAAGAGGGCCACCTGCATCATGAAGGACCCCACTCACCCAGCACATACACTTTTTGTCCTGCTCCCCTCAGGAAGGAGTTTAAGGCGCATTGAGTGTAGAACAACTAGACTGAGGAACAGTTTCTAACCTGAGGTGGTTAGACTCGTGAATCTCTAACCAGAATAATCACTGTGAAAAAAATCACATCATGTTGCTGCTGATCTGTTTCATGTTGATGTGTTCATTTGTGCTAATCTGCTCACACAGACTCATGCTCATGTTTGTGCTGCTGTTCGACATAATGTTTTTATGCTATTAGTGCTTAGTGTATTTTTAGTTGATGTTTTTCTTAGTTCATATCTTAGATCTTATCGTTGTTTTTCTTTTACATTTTATTGTTGGATGTAACTGGGACCCTGTGCACATAATTTCACTCCACCACATGTACCGCATGTGATGTAAATGACAATAAAGAAACTTGAACCTTGAGATAAAAGAGTTTTAATCCTTGACTCATTAATTATTGTTTAGCTTGGTAATGTTTTATTAATTACTCTAATACTTTTCAAAACAAATTATTTCTCCAAATTATTATCCTTTACCATTCATGTTGTTTGATTTTGTTTATTATTTTTGATGATTCTTAGTTTGATTAATTATTTTTGTAATAAAACTTCAAACAATTTTGGTCTCCTCATTCAGATGAATATTCATTTGTTATGGTATAGAACGCCCTGTAATTAATGGATTCTACTTCAGTGACTGAGTTCTGATTAATAAAGGGTGAATATATTAATTAAGTCATTGCTGTTCAATAAGCTGATCAGATGGTGCCCAGCTTTAACGAGTGCAAAACAAATAATTAAATGTAGTATAGTGAGGAGCAAGTGTCAACCTTCTTGCTCCATCTCTCATATATGCTACACCCATCTGGCAACCCTGTTCAGCGGCTGCCATTTCCAGGAAAATGTAACATCTCTAGTTGATGTTCTGTAAATGTGTGAGTTTAAAAAGATCCTTCTGATCTCTGGCTTCATGCTGTAGGGTTTGTTTTGCTCTGGATTATTTGTGGTTGTGCACCAGAGTTGTTGTTGCTTGTTCAGAGTTGTGCAGCACCATGGTTCGGTACGTTGCACGGTGGAGTGTTTGTTGTAAAGAGAGAACATTCCTCAGCTTCAGACATGTTGGCCCTGACAGCTCCTGGGGTTCTTGTGTCTCAACAGAGCCTGCCCGGTGGGGCCCTGCAGAGGTCTGCAGCTAAACCTCTCTACCGTACCAGAGTTATCCAAGAATGATCCAAGGACTGTGTTTGGGAGTTTTCCATATTTTCATGGTCTGCTCCATTCAAGGCTTACTGATGGATCAGCATGGAGATGCAGAAAGTGACCAAGATCTCAACAAAGCCATTTTGGAAATGTTACATATTAAGAAAGTGTCGGCAAGTTATCAGGCTGAAGCTCACCCGTACATGAGGAGGATCTACCTGCATCTCGCCTCACCGGATGCTCCAGACCATACACGATCGGAGGGAACTTTGGTGCAGAGCTTTAAAAGTGTTGATAGTAAGAAACCGCCTCAATTTATGCCAGAATTTTAAATAAAATTATCATATGACCAAAGGGAATGGAGCTGTAGTTGTTAAAACCTTGTAAAAACCATCACATTCAACAGCATGCTTTAAAAAGTGAGAATGACAGACTCCGCTATTACTACATCTAAGTTTAGCTCAGTATCTGTGAAACTAACTGTTTTTAGATGCAGCAGAAATCTTGAGTTAGACTGACTCCAAGTATTGATCAGTTGTAGATCGACATCAAGCCATTCCTAAAAGTTTCATTAACCCTTAAAAGAAGTTGATTTTTCTCCATACGGCCATATGGGGAAAAAAATCTGCCACACATTTATTTTTGTCCATGTTTTTATTTAATTATTTATTTTTGTTGAGTCAATCTTTATTTAATAAGACTAAAAATACCCTCTACTGTTTTTATTTTTATTGTATCATAATTTTTCAGATGCTCTCATAACTTCACAGTAACTTTACTACACTCTTGTGTTTCTGGGGGGACAATCATCCACGTTAAAATACACTGAAAATACAACTTTTAATTTCATATTTATCACATCATAAAATAATGCATTCTTCTCAGTAATGGTTTATTTCTTTTTTGCCTTTGTTATTAACATTTATTGGGGCCGAGATAGTGTAGAGGCAGGGCAGCCAACTCAGGACCCGAAGGTCCCGGTTTCGATCCCTGGTCATTGCACATCTCATGGTGTTTCTGCAGGCCACCTCATCCCCAGTTGGTCCCCGGTGCCTCCAAAGGCCGCCCATCGCTCCACCTGGTAGTGGATGGGTTAAATGCAGAGAGCCAATTTCACCATTGTATGGGAACATAAAATTATGACAATACATTATTATTATTATTATTATTATTAACATGTGATTTTGGTATTAGCCCACTAGGTGTTGCTCTGCTTTTATACTTGAGAGCTTCTAAAAATCTTGAAAATCTTGCCTTATTTTAGGAAATGTCCCTACTGCTTTTAAACATGCTGTGGATAGGCCCCTTGTCAAAAAACCACACATTGACCCATCAGTTTGACCAAATTTTAGACCTATTTCTCATTTTCCTGTTTTTAGTTAAAGTTTTGAAAAGTTTTTTATGCAGCTACAACCTGTCTCAGAAAAACATAGCATTTATGAAAAATGTTAGTCTGGATTTAGATCTTGCCCCATACCATCAGCCCTGTTAAAAGTCCATAATGAGATTGCCATGTCCATGGATGCAAAGTGCCCTGTTGCTTTAGTGTTGCTGGACCTTACAGCTGTTTTTGACACAGTGGACCATGCTGTCCTTCTGTCTCTTCCTCAACACTGTTGGCATTTCTGGTTCAGCTTTCAAGTGGTTCCCTTCTACTTGACCAACAGAACTCTCTGTCATGATGGGAACTCTGGCTTCCACTAGTGCCTCTCTTTTTTTGTGGTGTACTGCAGGGCTGTATTCTTGGTCCTCTCCTCTTCTCTCTATGCGCTGCCACTTGGATCAGTTATTACCAGACCACTTTTCTTTTCACTGCTATGTGGACAAACTACAAATTTATTTACCTACAAAGCCTAACAGTAGTCATCCTCACATTTATTTTACTGATTGTATTGCCGACATTAAAAAGTGGCTCCACTTTAAATTTTGTTTTTTAAATGAAAAGTCAGTGTATCTTTCTTGGTGATGATCTGATAAATCTATAGCCTTTGGGCTCAAGGTCAGTTTTTTTCAGAAACAGTATGTCTTAACCAGAATCAAGCCTTTTTTTAAGTTGCCCTGACCTGAAATAGGCCATTCATGCTTTTATCAGCTCAAGGCTTGACAACTGTAAGATGAAACATGGAGCTTTTTTTAAAAACAAAACAGATTCTTTTTTTTATTATTATTATTTAAATGTGATGTTTTTATTTCAGGCTGTGAGAGCTCTAAAAGACTGACTAGAATTTTGTGAATCAAAAAATAGTATTTTTTATTTATTTGTTGGGTTTTTTAAGTGTTTTTTCCCCACTTGGAAACATTAACTGTCATAAAGATAAAGGGACTTCCAGGAGTTATAAGCCACTCATCTATTCATGAGATATTTTGCTAACTTTTTTCATGACTTGCTCTCGACGAAGACGGTCGCTCTTCTTCCCTCTCTCTGTTCCTGCTTTGCTCTTTGTCTTGTGAACCTTTTTCAGAGCCCCTTTTGCATACCTTTCGAACTATGAATTTGTTCAGCTGGTCTCTCAAAGCAATTGATCAAATTTTCTCAACAAGAAGACAGGGTGAAGGAGAGCCCTCTTATCTCTGAAACATAATTGGATTAATGATAACTGGATTCTGCTTTTTGGAGTTGGTGGAAATCTGGATTATCGACAAATTTGGAAAAGTCATCAGCTGTTTAAACTGTCTGGAATGTGCGTGCTGGGCTTGGCAACACTCAGTCTCTGAGCGAATTATATGTTACAGGAACGGCTCTAAATTAGTTTAAATCATATCTATCTGATAGATTCCAATTTGTAAATGTAAATAATGAATCTTCATCTTACACCAAAGTTAGTCATGGAGTTCCTCAAGTTTCAGTGCTTGGACCTGTTACAACAGGAGCTGGATGCAGGTCACAGTTCACTGCAGCAAGCTGTTGCTAGCTGGTGGGCCTTGGGCCTCCTCTCTGACCCAGGACCCACCTCCAGCCCACGCTGCTCGAACCTCCTTCAGAAACAGCAACTTACACAATTTAATAAATCAAGGAAACGTGAATTCAGTTTTACCAATTGTATTAAAATCAAGGCAGGAAAAGGTTACAGTTTACAGCGATGGCCTCTCCGGTACAGTTCAACGTGAGATTAGGAACCGGAAGGGGCGGATGTCCTGTGGCATTCCAGATTTATAGGGCCTAGTCTCCTCCTTCACAGAAGAGGAGCACAACCTGTCACGTGGATCAGGGGGAGTGACTAAGTGTGATCTCAATGGATCTTATGTGGTTTGACGTGTAAGGAAAAATTGAGACGGTTCTTCAAAAGCCTTTCTGCGTGATGTAGCAAGCAAAATGAATATTCAGACGGAAATCCATGCGGACCAGGAGATTTGTTTGTTTTAAGCTTTGAGATGGCATATGAGAGCTCCTATTCTGTGATATTAGCCACTATTCTTTGATTTTGATCATCTGACAAAACAGATATGTGAAGTTGTTCAAGGAATTGTTTGATTTGTTGTCCATCTTAAGTTTGGCTGTGTGCATAATAGTTTATAATAACTTTGAAAAGTTTGTTGGATTTCACTTTGTTTATACACACTCCTCTTAGAAGTTGTGTCCCTTATTTTATCTATTGTGTTGTCTGCTTGTTGTTTTTGTAATTTTCTCCCTAAGAGTTTGGCAAACTTGGCTCTCGATTCATAGTATTTTTGTTTGGTATAAATCATCTTTTTTTGTATTTCTTGTGAATATATAGCATTAAGTTTGTTTCTTAATATTTTAAGCTTCACACTATGTTCTGGTTTTAGTTCTTTCTTATGTTTTGTCTCAACCTCTTTTAATTCTTTGTTCAATTCTGACAGTTTTAATTGGTTTGATCTCTTTTTCTGGACACAAAAATGTTGTTGTAGCTCCTGCTGGATCGCATTCACTGGGGGGTGGATGATGGTCACTGGGAGTCCCCGTTCTGCCATATCTGATGTCACCTCCACTGCTGTCTGGTACACGCAGGTCTCTTCTTCGTAGAACGCGAATAGTTTTGCAGGATTGGAACTTAATTTTATCCTCCTTCAGCATCTTCTTTACTTGATGGTACTCTGCACGTTTCTTGAGAATTTCTGGTGGATATTTTAAAGATGCTCTTATCTGCTGTGCTGTATTGATTGGTGTATCACAACTGTATCTTGTCCTTTATCTGTATCTGCTTGGCTTTTGGATCTGCTTGCCTTTTGGTATCAACAAGTACAGATTGAACTAAGTCAGAGAATGTATTTGAGTTTGTTGTGTACGGGACATGAACTAACAGGGAGCTGCTGGTGTGTGTCCCACCTGATGACAAGATCACCAGTAAACTGGAACAGCAGAAGAAAATAATAAAACAACTCCATAAAAGGACTTCCAAGAAATGAAGACATCAGTTTGAACTAGTTTAGACAAAGAACTGTAAGAATGTTGTGACACGTCTCTGGGTGGAGCTTTTGTGTTTAAATACAGAAGAAGCTGAAAGCTCCGGTCAGACGCATCTTGGTTTTTTGTTGTATCTCTGTTGGTTTGGGGTAAGAGCGTCTCCTTTCAGCTGAAAGCTTTAATAAATGTTGGTAATACTTTTTAACTTGAATCTCTCTGACTGATTATTGTGTCTTTTCTCCATGTATCTCCGAACCAATGAGAGGAACAGGTGAATAGGCTAAAAAGTCTGAGTTGTTGTGTTGATTTTCCTCGACAATATCTTTATGCATGCTCAATAATCCAGGTAGAAAAATCAAAAAAAGTTAAACCTGGTCCTCTGGACATTCAAAAAACAAAACAAAGCAAAACAACAACAAAAAAAAGTAGAAACTTTTTGTCTTTCATCCGAAAGACTTCCTCAGTCTGAGGTGCTGTATTCAGCTCAGTCTTATAAATAGCACCTTCTCAGAGTGGATCAGCCGGTTTTGCTGCTGATAACCAAAACCAGCTGCTCATATGATCAAGAAGGACAATCAGCCTAACGATGGTCCTTACGATTAACGATTAGCACAATGATGGCTGTTTACTATTCACAGGAGGCTGAGTGATACTAGCAATAACAGCATTGTAAGAGGGGGACAGTTGAACACGGAGGCCTCCACCCCTGTTTAATGATGGATGGTTTCTTTTCACAAAGATGGCCTCCTTTACTCCTCTTTCAAATCATTGTTCCTCTCTGTCCAGGATGTGAACATCTTCATCCCTGAAAGAGTGACCGCTCGCCTGGAGATGAGTATAGACCACAGACTCCTGGCCTGATGTTGTTGCTCTTCTGTGCTTGGCCATCCTTTTGGCCAGTGGCTGTTTAGTTTCCCCGATATAAGACTGATCACCCTCCTGACACTGAACAGCATACACAATATTACTCTGTTTGTGCCGGGGGACTGAATCTTTGGGATGAACCAGTCTTTGCCGTAATGCATTTTGGGGTTTAAAAGCCACTGGGACGTTATGTTTAGAAAATAAACGTCTCAGTTTTTCTGATACTCGCTCAACTTAAGGAATGACCACTGGTCTGGGTTCCTCCTTTTCACCTGATGGCTGACTGGAGTCCTGTTTGGGTTTCCTCTCTGCTTTCAGGAAGGTCCAGTTAGGATATCCGCATTGTTCTAGAGCCTGTCTTGTGTGTGATTTCTCCTTCTGCCTGGCTCCTGAGTTAGTGGGGCCACTGTCTGCTCTGTGGTACAGAGTCCTGATGACTCCTAACTTGTGCTCCATAGGGTGATGGGAGTCAAACTGCAAATACTGGTCTGTGTGGGTGGGTTTGTGGTAAACCTCGGTTTGCAAATGTCCTCTATCAGAGACTGAGACCTCACAGTCCAAGAAAGCCAACCTGCCATATTTTACATTTTATCATGTGAACTTGTATTTATCCACAGAATTGATGTCAGTAAAATGTTGGACTTCCTGAAATTTAATTTTAACCCAGGTGTAATCAACATACCTGAAACAATGACTTGGTGGTGTCCCTGAAAAGGATGTCAAGGCTCTGTAGTGTGTCAAGGACAACTTTGCTGTGAACATACGGTCCCACCAAATGTGTCATTTAAAACACGTACGGTCCCACCAAATGTGTTATTTAAAACACGTATGGTCCCACCAAATGTAGTAAAGGTTGGGGACAGCTTAACTGTACCTTCACTACTAATTATTTAAATATAGCGGGTTCTTTCTTTTTCGAGTTAAATTAATGCCATGTGATGAGGTAACTGTGAGGATTGTTTAATCAGTGACAAGAGACGTTAATTTTCCTTTGACCCATCAGAATAAATGCGGTCATTTATTTAACAGAATCAAAATTTAACATCAAAACATGTACACTTGATTAGCTGATCTGGTTCTGATTAATAAAACTTGGCACGCTTTACTAATAAGACAACAAGACATTTCTGAAGGCATCTAGATTACTGGCAAAATAGAAGAGTTTAAAGGAAGGAATGAAGGAGTTTAAAGAAGAGATGGATAAAGGGAGGTGTATGTTTGGATTGACCAGAATTGGCACGCTTCTTTCAATCACCAGCTCAAACCTCAGGTACACTTAGCGCGTGACGACTCGTTACCTTCGCAGGAGATAAATCAGCTCCGGTACTGGGTCCATTTCAATGCTACCTTCCAGCGTCTCCGGTTAGAGTGGCTGGTCATTGTCAGAAGTCGTGTCGATTTACTCCGTTCAACAAACAGGCTCAGCTCCCTTCGAAGTTGGAGGCGTTACGCCCGGGTGGATTCACAGCCAGTCGCTGTGACTCCGTCAGAGATCCCACTCAGGAGTGGAAGACTCCAGAAGGCTTGAGAAGACTCCATCAAGAGAACTCCAAGAGTAGACTCAGTAGACTGAGTAGACTGAATAGTTCCAGGAAGTGTGGACTTTTAAAGAGTTCTCACTTCCGGTCACTTCAGGACTTCCTGATTGGTTGAAACAATCAACAGGGGGTGGCTCTAGTGATATCAGAGGGTTATTAAAAGTCAACAAAGGGTTCAGGAATGTTTAGGAACATTTTAGTACAGAGAGAAATGTTATGGCGAAGTGAGACAACGCAGATGCCAGTGTTTCTCTTTTTACCGTCTGCTAGGTTTAAAAACAATACAGCCCATTCTAATAACTTCTTTTCTGACTGTCTCTGACTTTTGACCGACATCACTGACTTCTCATTTGACAGAAAATCAAATGCATAATTACTTTGTAAATAGACATTTAACTTGATTTCTAATTTAAATGAGGTTTAAAAAATCATTAATACTGTTTCACAGTTGATTTAAAATGAGTGGTTCACTTCAACATTAGAAAAGATATGAACTAAACACACTTTTTGATTATCAAGATATTGTAAAATAGTAATGATAATATAAAAAGAAGAGTGTTATTTCAATTGATTACTTCAGGATACAATTAGACATTCTCTGGATGAGCTAATTTGTATTTCTGGATTCAAATCAATGAAATAACAGTTCCTGTCCCAAGAAGGTCTTCAGAGGCAGGTTTTGGTCGGAGGCCGAGTTCACTACAGCTCTCTTTTCTACCACCTCCATGTACAGGTTGGCCACAATATGAGAAACTGGAGACCTCATAGCACACCCATGTTTCTGCCTATAATATTGCTCCCCAAACTAACTTCACATATGGGGAGCTTTATTTTGGTAATTTTTTAAAATCTAAAAACAGGTATTGAGATTTACTGTTTTTTAATAAATATTGTAAATCTTGAACAGTGTCTCTTGCTTATTGCAATTACGTACCTGTGATTTCCTGGTTGAGAATCCAGGTGACGTTGTTGGCAACAAATTCAAATCTTATTGTGTATTGGTCACATTTGGCGGTGGGCACGTAGGGCATTTTTGCAATTGCAAGAGAGACGGAGTTTCAAGTATTTTATTTTATTTAATTTTTGTTTTAATTGTGTTCCCTTTTCTTCTCAGGCAAAGCAGCAGCTGGTTAAGTGGTGGAATTAAAAAAAAAGTTTCCTAATTTGGAGTCCTGTTTAATTGTGTCAAGGAAAATCTACACAACAACTCGGACTTTTCAGCCTATTCACCTGTTCCTCTCATTGGTTCAGAGATACATGGAGAAAAGACACAATAATCAGTCAGAGAGATTCAAGTTAAAAAGTATTACCAACATTTATTAAAGCTTTCAGCTGAAAGGAGACGCTCTTACCCCAAACCAACAGAGATACAACAAAAACCCAGGACGCGTCTGACCGAAGCTTTCAGCTTCTTCTGTATTTAAACACAAAAGCTCCACCCAGAGACATGTCACACATTCTTACAGTTCTTTGTCTAAACTAGTTCAAACTGATGTCTTCTTTTTCTGAAAGTCCTTTTATGGAGTTGTTTTATTATTTTCTTCTGCTGTTCCAGTTTGCTGGTGATCTTGTCATCAGGTGGGACACACACCAGCAGCTCCCTGTTAGTTCATGTTCCGTACACAAAAAACTCAAATATATTTTCTGACTTAGTTTAAGCTGTACTTGTTGATACCAAAAGGCAAGCAGATCCAAAAGCCAAGCAGATACAGATAAAGGACAAGATATAGTTGTGATACATCGAGCAATACAGCACAGCAGATATGCGCGTCTTTACAATTGTGAGGTACCTTTTATGGGTCAGGGCTCAGTTATGGAGGCAGAAATGCAGGCTCTGAAGAGCTTAATAATTCATTTGAGAGCTGAAAATGAGAAGCTGTGCCAAGAGCAGGTGGTAGCTGGGCCTGGACCTAGTGCTACACAGCATACAACAGAGTCACCTTTTTGCTACAAGTCCCTCGGTAACAGAGGTTTGTTTTCGTAACACGTGATTAAAAAATGTCCCATGTTTAGGGGGAAAAGAGGTATTGGGTTAACTGAGTGGCTTGAGGAGGTACAGCCATTTGTGGAGCATGTGTTTGATGGGGCCCTTCGTCATGAGCTGAAGCAGTTTGTGCATGGGAAGCCAACAGCCACCTTGCTCGAGGTTAGAGCAGAGGCATTTCGTTGGTAGCGTGAGGTGTGGCCAAGTAATATACTCTGTCTATGATCTTCTAGCCCTTCAACATTTGGGTGTCATTATGGGGTGCAGAGTTGTTCTCAAGGGGCAGTTGGTTCACACAAAGCCTCTGAATTGCGCCAGTTGAGGAATATGTTCCAGCAACAGCAATTACAGCTTAACCAATTTACCCAGAGCATAGCTCGTTTGCAGAAGACCAATCAGCGGGGTCGTTCTCGTGACCCTATTGTTTGTAGGCATTGTTAGAAACCCGGCCATTTTGCCAGGGATTGTGATAGGATTCGAGTCCAGAAACATGCCCCTGCTCAATCATCACCTCAGGCATCAGAAAACGAATTCCCGCCGAGTTGTTGAGCCACGATTCGGACAGGGCAGTTATTGGCTCTAGAGTTGGTGTTTCTCAGGAAGGTTCTAATCTGGTGTCATCCTGCCCACATTTGGTGGTGAGCATGGTGGTGTCGAGGTTCCTTGTTTAATAGACACTGAATCCATGATGTCTACCATTAAAGAGAGTTTATTTACTGAGAGAAGATAAATTGCAGTCCTGTCATTAGCTTCAGCTCAGAGCTGCCAATGGCCTTGCCATTCCCTACATTGGCTATTTAGAATTGGATATTGAACTCTGTGACAAGATCATGCCCCAGTGTGGGGTGTTGGTGGTCAAAGATCCCCTTACTGGTGTGTCATTGAAGGCGCCAGGTGTTTCGGAGATGAATGTGATTAGTCGCCGTTATGGTGAGCTTTTTAAACATCATGGTTCAACTTTAACTCACCTGCTGTTTCTACTGCTCCAGAGTTCATTAGACAGGCTTTCCACTGATGCCATCATACCACAACTCAACCTCCAGATGACATCATCGGTGGTGTAAAAGTGTGTGGTAAGGAGGTTCACCGTATTCCTGGTGGCACACTGAAGACTGTGCCAGCCACATGTTCTGAGAGGTACTCAGATAAAGTTGTTTTGTTTGAATCTTTGAACTCCAGCCTTCTGTCTGGACTCCTTATTTCACCTGCTCTGATTCAGATCACAAGGGGAACTGCCTACATCCCCATTGTGAATGTGGGCACTACTGATGTGGTGCTACATCCTCATACCCAAATTGGTACGCTGAGTTCTGTTCACGTTGTCAGCTTGTCTTCAGGTGTCCAAGCAGTACTATCAGACATGGCCTTCAGGGGAGAGCAAGTGGCTGCATACTCTGTCCAGGACCAGATAGATGCATTGGATGTGACTGGTTTGTCAACTGAAGAGCAAGGTGAGGTAAGGGTGTTGCTTAAGACATATAGTTTTGTCTTTTCAGCACATGATGGCGATTTGGGATGTACTAATTTGGGCACCCATGATATCTCCCTCATGGATGATATACCTGTGAAACAATGTTACCGGCGCATACCTCCTTCTGAGTATGAGGCCGCTAAAGAACATATCTACAAATTACTTGAGGCAGACGTAATTAAGGAAAGCAACAACCCTTACGCTAGTCCCATTGTATTAGTTAAGAAGAAGGATGGGACTTTGCGTATGTGTGTTGATTACAGGCACCTAAATGTTAAAACTAGAAATGATGCCTTTCCCCTCCCTCATATAGAGGAGTCCCTGGATGCACTAGGGGGCGCACGCTGGTTTTCCACTTTGGATTTGGTAAGTGGGTATAACCAGGTGCCAGTAACAGAGGCCGACCGGCCTAAAACTGCAATTTGCACTCCATTCGGTCTCTTTGAGTGGAATCGCATGCCCTTTGTGCCTTGTAATGCACCCAGAACCTTCCAAAGGTTGATGCAGCGGCTGTTTGGTGATCAGCAGTGCAAAAGTCTTTTGTTGTACCTGGATGACATTGTTGTGTTTTCCTCCACAGCTCAGCAACATCTAGAGAGGTTGGAAGTGGTTTTGAGTCGGCTTCAAGGGGAAGGCCTCAAAGTAAAGCTAAATAAATGTGCCTTCTTTAAACCTGAGGTGAGCTATCTGGGAGATGCTATTTCTGCTGAAGGTGTTGCCACTGACCCCAGTAAGACTGAGGTAGTAGCTAATTGGCAGCCCCCCACTACAGTTTCTGAGCTACGATCCTTTCTTGGGTTTGCTAGTTATTACCGTCGCTTTGTAAAGGGCTTTACAAAATTAGCTGTTCCTCTACACAGGCTGGTTGCAGAACTAGGGGGCACCAGGTTGAAGAGACGGCCAGATCAGAATGTCATCCAAGGCTGGACAAAGGAGTGCCAGAACAGTTTTGAGGAACTGAAAACCAGACTGACAACTGCACCAGTGTTGGGTTATGCAGATTTTTCATGTCCTTTTATTTTAGAGGTGGATGCAAATTATGGTGGTTTGGGGGCTGTGCTCTCACAGGAGCAAGGAGGTAAGGTGAGACCCATTGCTTATGCAAGCCATGGCTTGAGGCCCACAGAGCGTAATATGTAGAATAGCTCCATGAAACTGGAATTTTTGGCACTGAAGTGGGCAATGACCAAAAAATTTGGGACTACCTGTTGGACCATAAGTGTATTGTCTTTACTGACAATAATCCATTGAGCCATTTGGCTTCAGACAATTTGGGCTCAACTGAACAACGCTGGGCTGCCCAGCTTCCACTGTTTGACTTTGAAATCAAATACCGTTCTGGCAGAGCCAACCAGAATGCTGATGCCTTGTCAAGGTAGCATCCTGTTGGTGCACAGGATTTGGACATTATGGTCCCTGGTACATCCCTTCCTGAACCCTTGAGGGAGGTTTTTCAGGGGAAGCAAAGGGAGGTTAGCCAAGTGGCTGCTATGGCCTTGCCTAACCATAGCATCTCTGAAATTGGTACTTTTCAGCAGGTTGACTCATCCATCCAGGAGTTCTTGGTTTTTTGGAGGCGAAAACAGCGTCCCACTGCTGAAGAGCATCAGCAGGTATCTCAGCCCATTCTGGTGTTACTCTGGCAGTGGGACAAATTGTTTGAGGAGAATGATGTTCTATACCACCAAGTGTTTAAACCTGCTAGTAGTGAGTTACTTTTACAACTGGTGTTGCCAACATCCTTAAGGGAGGAAACCTTGAAAAACGTTCACCACGAGCATGGCCATCAAGGTGTGGAACAAACATTAGAGCTCCTACGCCAACATTGTTATTGGCTGGGCATGGCTGCAGAGGTGGCCCAGTGGTGTCAGAACTGCGAGAGATGCCAAGTGGCAAAAGAGTCTCAGCTGCAAGCCTATACGTTTATGGGGCACTTGTTGGCTTCACAGCCTAATGAGATTTTGGCCATTGATTTTACCTTGTTGGAACCTACTCATAATGGACTTGAAAATGTACTTGTTATGACTGATGTGTTTAGTAAATACACACTTGCTTTTCCCACCAGAGATCAGCGTGCTTCTACCGTAGCACAGGTTTTGGTGAATGAGTGGTTTTTAAAGTTTGGTATACCTGTCCAAATACATTTGGATCAGGGTCGCAGCTTTGAGAGTTCTCTCACTCAACAGTTATGCCAGTTGTATGGCGTTGAAAAATCACACACCACACCGTACCATCCAGCTGGCAATGGTCAGTATGAACGGTTTAACCAAACCCTTCATGACCCACTGCGAACATTGCTGTCTTCTCGGAAAAGGGATTGGAGCTCTTGTTTACCACGTGTTTTGTACTTTTATAACACTACACCCCATCAAGCAACTGTTGAATCACCATTCTTTTTGATGTTTGGATAGGAGCCTCAGCTGCCAGTTGATTTCCTTTTAGGAAGAGTTCAGGAGCCTGTGGCTGGAAGTATTCATGACTGGATCCAGGAGCACCAGGCCCGCTTGCAGGTAGCTGTGGAGGATGCTTGTGGTTAAGAGTTGCAGCGGAGAGCCATAAGAACCACAATGATCAGAGAATCCAGGTGGTGTTGTTGGCAACAAATTAAAATCTTATTGTGTATTGTTTGCCATTTTGTCACATGTTCATGAACAATATCACCATCTTGTCTACCCCCCACCCCACCCACCCAACCACCTGCAAAATGTATTATGTCTATGTTGCTTTTGCGCTAAGGTAATTGTTTTTGCTGCCTTACACTGTGCCCTGTGTCTAAGGACATGGTGTGAGAGATCTATTTTTTTTTTTATTCTTTCTCTCCTCATACTCCTTGAATTCCTCATGTTTTCTTCCCCTTTTCTTATCTAAGACATTTTTATTATTTTTATTTATCTATTTTTATTCCGGATCACACTGTTGTCCCCTGTTGACCTGAAAAGAGCTAGGACCATGCCTTTCATTTCAGGAGGATTTTCTGGCAGCTCACTTTGCTAATTGCTACAAATTATCTGTTTCTGCCTGTTGATTCTGGACCCAGCTTCTGTTTCCCATGGGAGCATCCATCTTCGCAGGGGGGCCGGAGCCCCCCTCAGCCCAACTCAAATTAAAGTTATGCCACCTCGTCGGATTTGTTGGCCCATTTGATTTGAGACAATTTATGGTCTGAGACTTTTCTGCACCATTCATATTATTGTCATTATTTTCAGATCTCAGACTATCTGGAGTCACTGAATCTTGTTAATACATCTGGATCTGCCCATCACTGCAACTTTCACTGTTTTTGGGTTCTGAATGATCGCGTCTTCATTAATGGTTCTCATGGTTCAATTATGGGGGCTAATTGTCACACTACTAACTCCTGTAATTACAAATCAGTCACGAAAAACTCTAGAAAATTTCTGAAAATAATGTTGTTATTGCTCTCAGGGATTCAGCCCAACCCTGGAACCCCCACC